AATCACATCATAATGAACTACAAGACATCTGCACTTTTTAATTGCAGCAAACTGTTTGAAAGCATTAAAAGTGTCCGAGAAGATGTCCAAAATCTTTACATGCATTGACCCAGAGACTGTTTAGATGCTTGTCACTGATGAGATGACGACGGATGTTTACTGTATGAAGACAGAAATGGCCTTAAACACCCAAGAGGCACAAGACGTCAATATGACGTTAGATTGACATTGCATTTTGTTTGGAAATGAAAATCGTGTTGACAGAACTCAACGTCGGGCCGACATCAGTGTCCAACGTCCAACCTAAAACCAACCAAATATCCACGTCTAATGATGTTACAGCATATGTTGTGTGGACGTTACCAATATGACGTCTATCAGATGTTGGATTTTGGTTGCCATACCTGATGTGTAAATGTCAGTATTTGACGTCAAGAGGACGTTGGTTCGACACTGTATATTGGTCCCTTTCTAACAACCTAAAATTGACCGAATATCAAGGTCATTTGACATCATTATTGGACATCAAAATATCGTTGTCTGTAGATGCTGGCTAGACATAAAATTTTGGTCACCTGATATCACTGCTGTGGAATAACTTGATGCACTACAGAATGTTACGTTTACACACATGCTCAAATTACATGTAAACACATCAGCTTTTTAAAGCTACTCACTACTCTTGAGTACTTTTTAAAGGTCTACTTTTTACTCTACTTTGAGTAATATTTAGAACAGATATTTTTACTCTACTTGCTCTACATTTTAGGCAAGTAATAATACTTTTACCTAAGTATGATTTTTCAGTACTCTTTCCCCCACTGTCCATCTTACAAGAACCCAATAAGTAAAAACAATTTTTATAAATCTACCACAATCATGTTGCACTGCTTGCTTCAACCTTAAATACCTCTTTTGCACAATATTTACCTTTAATACCTCTCTTATATCCTGCATAGCATTGTTTAGTCTCATGTAAAAGTACTTGTATGGCCTGTTTTAAGTGTATAACTTTGTTAGTTATGCATAGTTTTTTTTCCCAAATAGCTCTTATGTTTAGTGTTGTGTTTGTATTTATGACTAATTTATGTTGCACTGTTGTCCTGTGAGACACGACTCTGTATGTCCACACATGTAGCAAAATGACAATAATGCTTGACTTGACTTGAAGCATTAAATCAGATGCTTAACTTTCAATTAAAACATCTTTAACTTTCTGTGTGTATATATAAAATCAACTAATGTACATTTTCAGAAACAAAACATTTGATGGGAGTTTGTGCTTGGTGCAGAGGCATTTGCGTGACTGCTAATCAAACTTAATCTGACACAACACATTTAAATGGGTAATTAACGTGGTTGACTGTCACGTCATCTCAGATTTGGGAGTGACTCCTAAATTCCTCTGAGGAATGTTCATTTTGGAAATCCTCGCCCATGTTTAAACAGTATGCAGTTTTACTTCACGTTCCCTAGGAAGTGGGCTCCACAGAATATTCCACCATGAATTTGAAGGGAGCGCATACAGTTTGTTTTATTCAACTGGCCTTTTAGTGCGTGAGATGTGAATTTAGATTATATTTAGGTGTATTACTGTATGTCACTTCATGCTTTTCTAGTAATGTTGTGTAAATCAGTGATTGAACACTTCAAAGTGTAATAAAAGTTTCATCTGCTCCGGTTGAGAGCAATGAACGAGAATACACTAGAGAGCGATGCACACTGCGAAGGGACCTGCTGTCAGTCAGAACACATGCATGGAGCTCTTCTAACGAGCTGATTCTCTAAATCAGGTGTGTTTAATTAGAGAGACATGCAAAATATGCAGATCAGCAGGTGTGAGGACCGGGTTTGAGAAACACTGGATTAGACCATTAGTATCTTGCACAAGAGTTTCAGTATTTTCCTATAATTTTTAGGTTCTGCGTAATATCATTTCATCTTATGCAGCCATAGTACGACAACAGATTTCCTTGATTATTACGCCAGAATAAAAGTATAGTTCCTAGACAAATCACTCTAGAAAATAGCATCTTTTCATTTTCTATCAGTCTTAGTACACAATGTAACTAAAGAAGAGTCAAGCTTTAAATTTTTTTTTTTTTTTTTTGCTTTTAAGGCCATTTCCACTGTCAATAGGTACCAAAAAGCGAACCATATTGTACCACTTTTTTGGGTACCCTTCCTAGCACAACAAAAGGGTAGCAAAAGGCAGAGCTAGACACGCAGCTGAATGCTATTGGTTTACAGAGATACACAAGCAGGAGCACAACCGGGAGAATGTAAACAAAGGAAGCGCCATATTTAAAAAACACAGCCAAGACATTACTTCGTAATTATATATACAAATAATAACGCGCCATGGTCGACCCAAGGTCAAACAAACTTTGTCAACTACTTTATGAACAGCCACAAAGAAGAGCAAAATCTGTGTCCTGTTGTTGTTTACAAGGCCGTCTAAAAGCACGAGCAGTTTCACTTTCTCCAGACAGCTTGCGTGTTCACTGCATGTCTATATTTGAAATAACAAATGTCTTGAGCTCATGATAATAACATGCTTGTGATTATTGAAGAGTACCACACAGTGGAAATGGGCCATAAGACTTAAAGATCATACCTTAAAAACTAAGGTTGAAACCTGATTAACCGCCCATTGACTTGTGTCCTCTGTAGTGGACCTTGTGTTTTCATGAATTTTCTTTGACTTTTTTTTGAGCTACTCTTTCAAGTCCTGTTATACTGTTCAGAGGACATCCTGGGCTAGTGAAATGTTATTTGATTGGCTGGCATGCTAGGAACCACTTCGTACACGGCATCCAAAATGGCCGCCGTACAGACAAGCACATTTTATAGGAAGGAGAGAGGCATGTAAATTTTTGCTTTTTAAATGTTTTTTTACTATTATTGTTACATATATATATATATATATATATTTGTTTATTAAAGTGTCAGGAACTATACATTTAGCTTTCTAAGCTGTTAACTTGTTTGTGTTTCAAAATATCATCCTTTTTTAAATGCCCACAATAGTGGACAGCAGGACCATCTTAATGTAATTAATGACTGCATGTTGTAGGAGGCAGAACTCAAGCAGAGAGGATTCTTTATAAGATAGTTGAGGGAGACTCTGACTTAAAATCTGACAAAGTAGACAATTAAAGAATTAGAGACCATTAGAGAAAGACAATTAGTTTTAAATAAGTTTTCATGTTGAGTTTGTTTTGGATTTTTTGGGAACGTCACTTCGTTTTTTTTTTTTGTTTTGTTTTTTGAGTTCGTCTCTCTTTCAGACTAAATTGTTCCAGGAATTTCAATACAAAAGGAAAAAATGGCTTTTGTTTTGTTTTTGTTACATTAATATTGGATTATAATCTCTTCACAGCCATATCCTGTTCAGTTTTGTTGTCTGAGTTTGAAAAAATAAAAATAAAAACAAAACATAAAAACTCTAAATTGTAGAATGTTTTTTAACCCAAAGGATGTAGAAAATCACACACACACACACACACACACACACACACACACACACACACACACACACACACACACACACAATTCTTTGCTTCTCTGGAGGATGAGTAGGGGAGAGCAGGGCACAAAGTAACACTTTTTGGTTTTGGCCAGAAAAATTAACAAAGTAATGGGGTTAGACAAACCATTTTTTTTTTACCAGCAACACACAAGCCTTTTCTACAAATGAACACTGATCATATGATCGCCGGACCTATGGTTTCTGTGCAGTATTGTCAAAAGTGCCAGGAGTAAAAATGTTACTTTTTACCCCAACTGCGGGGCAAGTTGTAACAGACAGAGGGTTGGTTGTACTTGTAACACATACCTAAAAAGTCCGATTTCACACAATAATTTATATCCAGTTTACTTTGAATAGTAGCTTTATTTCCTCAGTACTTCTACATAGCAGAGTATTTTTATTTATTTATTTACCTATTGGATAAACTTATTTGGATTTATTTGCATTATTATCCATTATTATTCAATGCATTTATTTGCATTATTAGCAATTAAAGTGTAGTAAAGTAGTATTTTTTCTAATAAAAACATTTTTTTTGTAAAATGTCTTAACATTACACTCAAAGTTCTAAAATGATTGTGTTAGTACATTTGGTGTCCAACAGTGTGTACAATTGTGTTTAAGTGTTTAATTGTCCAACTGGTTTGCAGTCACTGTTTTTTTTTTTTTTTTTCATATTTTAACAGATTTTTACAAATAAAACAAACAATTTCAAATATTTTATGCTGCAAAAATGGTTTCTCTTGTGTTTTTGAACCAAATTTCAACGCCAAACTTTTTCAATAATTGGCAGGAAGACGTCTCCCGACACTGTGGTCAAAAACCTTGGAAGTATGCCATGGTTAACCCTAAGTAAATACCTTAAAACATATTACCCCATGTTACTTCGTGTCCCACGCTCCCCTACACCACTCACAAATCTCTCTTTTAAATTCATATTTTAAATAAGAGGCTATACAATTCTATTGTGCATATACATTAGATTAGTCAGCACTGAAGCCAAATCTGGAGCTAATCTAACAAAGTAACTTATGATAACGATACAAAAACTAGTACAGCCAAATTTATATGTTAGAGAAAAATATTTAGAGAAAAAATTAGTTAAAATTTTGTAGGTTGTAATTTATTTTTGCAATATTTTGCTTGCATTTGATTGTATTATCTTTCCATTTCTAAATATGTTTGGTGACCAAAATATTTTATTAAATAAATCTGTTTAAAAAAATCTGTTTTGTTCAAATGCACCAAAATATATTGCCTAAATTCACTGAGAAATAGATCAAATATTCCTTTTTAAAACGGGGTCGACTCAATTATGCTAAGCACTGTATGTTGTCATGACTTTTTTATCATATATATATTGTTTTATGTTTAAAATGCAATAAAATGACCAGCTATACAAGCATAAATTCCTGAAAAGACCTCATGTTAGCAAAATAAAGCACCCAAATAACACACAACACACAGATTAAGCATAAAATATCTTTACTTTAAAATATCCTCTTTGAAAACAGCAGAACAGTGTATATGGCTGAACAATATTGCTTCGCGTAGCCCTCGAGTTCAAGTAAAGTACATTCAGTAACACGTTACACAATATATTTTCAAACCCGTTCTCATTATAAATGCATAACGTAAGACACGACCCTCTGGTCCCAGTGCTTGAGAACATCCGAAACCATGCGAGATTCATCCACAATGGCATATTGTTTTCTATTAAGACTCTGTTTTGCTTGTGCATCGCTTTGCAATACAAACTACTGAAGCATTTAGCAAAACTACAGAACGGCACATTAAGGAATCATATCGGGTTTCATGCAATTATTGCTAGTACTTCTTTTTAAGCTAAAACCTTGTGCATAGCAGTTGCTATAATATAAATGACATCTTATATAGACACACACACAAATAAATGCACGATCTGAGGCACAAACACTCCAAAAAAATCAAAGCTGCTCTGATTGTATGGTATGTTCTAGATTTTTGTGCGTGGTTTCCCGCTTGCGATGGGGATTTTCTGTAGTCTGCATCCTCATAGTAATGTGCATTGGGATTCATTAAGCTCTGGCACTGCTGAGACAGCCAGAGATTAAAAGCCCGGCAGGGAAGTACAGCAGCGGTCGGCACAGATGGCATCTGTTCGGGTATCCGGCTGTACCCCTGCCATTTAAGCCGAGATGCAAGCTTGGTCTCTAGAGCAATATAAATATACTTAAATACCCCCATTTATATATTAAATTCCTTATGTATGCATTAGTTCTCCTGCTTTGTTTGTCAGTGCTTCACATGTAAATCAGAGCTCGGTAAAATAATTGGCACACGGACAGTCTAAATCCAGATTATTCAAGCATTTGCACTAATAATAATAATAAAAAAGAGAGAATGAAGCAGACATGTAGAGGGACAGCACTGAAAAAAAGGGTTTTCCTACTCAGTATTTATGCCTTGTTTTCCAATATAGACATTCAGAGTATTCGAAATTTATAAAAGAAGTAATATAATGACACAATGCTATTGCGTATGTAAATAACACCAGAAATACTAGTAATAAAACCAGTCTGGGTATTTGTTTTGGCAATAGATATGTTGTATGGCTCCAAATAGGTGAATTTTGCTGTCAGAAATCATTAGAATATTAAGTAAAGATCACGTTTCATGGAGATGTTTTGTAAATTTCCCATCATAAATATATCATAACCTAATTTTTATTTAGTAATGTGCACTACTTAGCACTTTTTAACAACAGTAATACCAGTAATAAAACCAGTCTGGGTATATTTTTGCCTATAGATACGTTGTATGGGTCAAAATAAGCGACTTTGCTTTGTCAAAACTCATTAGAATATTAGGTAACGATCACGTTCCATGGAGATGTTTCGTAAATGTCCCACTATAAATGTATCATAACTTAGTCTTTGATTAGTAATGTGCATTACTAAAGACTTTATGCACTTTCTTACACCAGTAATACCAGTAATAAAACCAGTCTGGGTGTATTTTTGCCTATAGATATGTTGTATGGCTCCAAATTATTGATTTTGCTGTCAGAAATCATTAGAATATTAAGTAAAGATCATGTTCCATGGAGATGTTTTGTAAATTTCTCATCGTAAATATATCATAACCTAATTTTTGATTAGTAATGTGCATTACTAAGCACTTTATGCATGTTATAAGACCAGTAATAAAACCACTCTGGGTGTATTTATGGCTATAGATATGTTGTATAGCTCCAAATTATTGATTTTGCTGTCAGAAATCATTAGAATATTAAATAAAGATAATGTTCCATGGAGATGTTTTGTACATTTACCATCATAAATATATCATAACCTAATTTTTGATTAGTAATGTGCATTACTTAGCACTTTATAACAACAGTAATACCAGTAATAAAACCAGCCTGGCTGTATTTTTGGCAATAGATACATTGTATAGGTCCAAATAGGTGATTTTGCTGTCAGAAATTATTAGAATATTAAGTAAATATCACATTTTGTGGAGATGTTTGTAAATTTTCCACTATAAATATATCATAACTTAGTTTTTGATTAGTAATGTGCACTGCTAAGCACTTCATTTAGACAGCTTTTAAAGATTTCTCTGATATTTCTTCAAATTATTATGATTTTCCAATAATTCCAACAAATATATATAAGATTTTCAACTCTTGTTCCAGATTTTTCAGCCCAAAAATATCCTGTCCTAATAATAAAAATATATTTATTTCAGCTTTCAAATTGTTAAAATTTAAATATCCAAAAAATTGACGTTTATGTTTCTGCAGCCTGATCTCACAAGGAAACAAAACTATTTTACATTCTGTCAGTTTAGTGGCTAATTCGTTCAGTCGTATGTACGGTTTTTGCCACTAAACCCAACCATCATTGGGGGATGAGCAAATCGTACTAAATTGTATGAATAAGATCATACGAATTCAGACGAATAAGCCACTTAATCAATTGCTTTGATTAATGCAGCGTGTTACTTGCTCTGTCTACAAATGTCAAAGATTTTGGAAATATGTATCAAAAGTGTTTTTTCCTCAAAAAGTAAAACAGAATATGGATAGTACAACTGAAAATGACCAATAGAGTGTTTTTTCCTACTCCAACGAGTTAAAAATGATATTTCTGAGCCCAGTGATGTTGTTTTTTTAACATAAAATAAAAATGATGCAAAAAACATAAGAGTTTTATCCTTTTACTTAAGATGCCAATGATATTAGAATAGATTAAAATAGTCTTTAAAAAATGCATGCCTTCTATAGAATGTACGTTCAGATGTTAATCATAATTCTGAATTTCTGTCAAAACTTGCAATTTCAAGATATATACTCATATTTTGCAAGTTTGTTGCAATTCTTACTTGTTACCAATTTGGGTGTTTATTTAACGATTCTAACTTTTTAAAATGTTATTTTTACTACATTTTAATTATATTTTAAATATACTCGTTATTATGATAGGATACTAGCTTGACAGTAAGTTGAGAGGTTGGAGAGAGAAAGGGGGCGGGATCAGGAAAATGCACTGCCCACAATGCTATTCTATTTATCTTAATTTTACTATTAAAATATCTCACAATTCTTAATTTTTTTTCTTTTTCTGAATTATGCCGAAAAAACATCAGAATATGAGGTTAAAAGTCCCAATTTACATTGTTTGTACAATAAAGGAGCTTGCATAAATTACACTGGAAAACAAGGCTTCAATATTAAGTATGAAAGTACCATTTTTTTTGTGTGCATATTTCCCTGCAGAGCCTCTTGACTCTCCAGACAGCACATCTGGTGTTCTGGACATCTGGCAGGAGCCCAGAGTCGCTGTGTGGAGGGTGAAGGAGCTCTGAGGGCCCCGCATCTGCATATCCCACTACAGAAGACAGGGAGGGGACGGCGAGCTCCGAGAGGCCCTTCATTTAAAAGATGCACGCACCACACGACCCTTCAGTGGCTGAGGAGGACGATAGTTGTTCACCATACAGCAGGCCTTTTCTCCATCACCGGAGAAAAGCAGAGAGCGAAATCTTTTCATCTGCACAGGAAAAAATAATAATAAATAAACGTGAGTTTTTAACATTTCTTCCACGGTAAAAAATATGTTGAATAGGTTAAATATGTAATTTAATTACAACAATAAGTAATTTGATATATTAATATAAGTTGAAACCTGATTAACTTAATAAATTATGTTAAAGTAATATAAAAAATATGTTATCATGACATTTTTATTGTCATTTTTTACAGTGCAAACATCACAAACAAAAACTCAAACAAAAGTCAGACATTTACACACACTTTGAGGTATCTGCAATATGTTTATTATTTTCATATACAGTAATAAGAGGGGTCAAAAAAATGTGTAGTATTTTTATTTAGTACTAACTTGAATAAGATGTTTCACATAAAAGAAACGGATGTCAGCAATGTCAGGCGTTTGTTCTTATAGAAGGCAAAGCGCAATGCGGCGAGCGACTCCCTTCATTAACACGCTTGATCGCGTTCATCTAATTTGCTTAAACTAAGCATTCTAAAGTCTGGCTGTATTTTACAAGCAAGGATTCTGACACACCAACATGCAGCAGATGCTTTACAAAAGTTGCGTGTAATAGAGAAACACTTCAAACTGTGAGGGCTCATGGAATCATTAAAGGTAAGAATGGTTTGACAACATTGCCGGCTTCGTCTGACAACATTGCCGGCTTCGAAGCCACCTGGAAATTATTTTTCAAATGAATTATTTGTCAAATGCCCAGAACAACAGTTTAATGGTATAACCCTGTTATCGTCTGCAAGATCACCATATTGCCTGCGCCCACTGGCCTAGATATATAGGTGTAACATTGTTGACCCATGTATAATATTAGAGGAACTGATGTAATAATGGTTTTAAAACTTTCTTTTTTTCCTGCCTAATGTCCCTTTTATTTTTATTTATTATTATTATTTTTTTTCTTCTTCTGTTTTGTCTTTATATTTGCTGTTGCTTTCTGTATCGCTCTATGTTGCTTTAAGAAAATAAAAATATAATATTCAAAAAGGTGAGGAATGGACTATCTTTGACAACTTGTGACATCATCTGGCACTTTCAGTGAGTTTGTTTACATGGACACCAATACTCTGATTTTAATATGATTAAGACAATATTCTGATTCAGAGTATCGCAGTTTCACAAAAAAGGGAGCTTTCCAATGAGCCTGGGTTGGATTTTTCTCAAAACAACTAGCACAAAAAAACAACACAGTAGTAAGAATCAAGATTGTGTCAATATTTGAACAGATATTACAATATTTGTCAATATTTGAACAGGGTCATATTTTTCTTTTTCTTTTGGACTATATGTAAACATCAAAAAAGTTATATATCTTATTCAAGTCAGTAGTAAATGAAAAATACCACACATTTTGTATGCCCTTTCATATTTTGGTAAAATAATTAACATTTTGCTTAATAATATTACAACGTGTTTTTACATTTTGACTTCAATTGTGTTTACATTTGCATGTCTGAAACATGTTTCATCCAAGCCAGTTACATTGCGTTGGAGTTACACGCTTGATCAGTTCTTGCTTTCCCTGGGAATCCAACCCACAACCTTGCTGTTGTTAAAACTCTGCTCTAGGATTAGATGTATAGGAAAGATTTTACAATACTGAGAACTTGTTAAACTATAACTATCCTATTTTCACTTATTTTTGTTAATTCTGCAGTTTTTGGTTGGTTTAGTGAACTTTATATTGATGAAGTCAATTATTCAACAGGCAGCAGGAAAAGGAGGTTTTGTACACATTACCAGTCTGGGAAACATTTGACCGGGTCGTGCTACTTTTCACAAAAGCACTAGATGTTGAGCGGAGAGGAAAAATACAACTGAGGATGACAAGATGGGTTTTGTTTACAGTTGTGTCAGATAATAATAATGATTTTTAAATTGTTACTTAATTAAAAACTTAATTCTCTAAGCGCTTTACACTTAAAAACAAAAAGATAGCAGAAAAAACAGTTATGCAGAGGATAAAAATTATAAATAAAAAAAAATAAGTCAGAAACATTGTAAATATAAAACCGATCAAACAATACACCTGCACCTCACAAATAGGCAAGTCTAAAGGTGCTTTCACACCTAGACTTTTGTTTCGGAACCTGTCCTGTTTTCTTAGTTAGCGCAGTTCGTTTGGCATATGTGAAACAAGCAACCGTGCTCGGATCCACGCCAAATCAATCGGTCATGTCAATGGAAAAGATCACGTACATTGTCTAAAAGAAACAAAATGTGTTTGAAGATATCTGGAGACCTTTTAATAACTTTCTTAAGTACAATGTAAATGTTGACAGTCTACTGCAACTAGAACAAGCTTAGGAATATGGGAAGTATCATGGTCTAAACAGACTCAGGAAACACTCTCTACCTCATTTAAACATACTCTACTTTTTTTTCTTTTCTCCCTTTTTTATTATATTTATTTATTTGTTTATTTCTTTTTATTTTATTTTATTTTTTTTTTAAGGGAAAGGGTTGTTGGGAGGGAGAATGGGGGGTAAAAAGTTTGCTGTGCCTTCATGATTATTGTTCTGTAATTGTGTAATCTGTTGTGATATGCAAATTGAAAAAAAAAAAGTAATAAATAGATTGTACAAAAAAAAATCAATCGGTCCGAGATCGCATGGATGAGGTGGTCTCGGCTCGATTGAAACAAACTCGGGAGCGGATCGATTGTAGTGAGAAAGCAAAGCGATCCGAGCCCGGCTATATCACAGTGTATTATGGATATACAGTATGTCATGGGCATATATGACTATATGAAGGCTATATGAAGAGAGTAGGGCGTGAGTAGAGCGAAATGTCTTTCCTACCGGTAAATGTGCATTCCTTGTTAAATACAAAAGTGAAAGTATGCTAAACTATTACTGAGAGCTGTTTCCGCTAGGAACATTGACCGAACTGCAGTCTAGCCAAGGGCTCTGTATGAGAGTCTTCCCTCTGATTTATATCTGGTGATGATGTCTTTGGGTGCCACCTTTCAAAATGAAAGCGCAGCTTTTCGCTTATAATGTGTTATTGCTCATCGTCATAAATTAAAATAAAGACGCATGACAGCTGAGCGGGACTCTGCAAAATAAACCATGGAACTCTTACCAATGTGAGGAGAGTTTACTCACACGTGACTTGTTTTAGCTATTTTGGTCCGTTTAGAAACTTTGCCGTGTGAAGCGAAAACACCAAGAACTAAAAGCAACAATGTAACAATTTTAATCCCTGTTTCAGAACTAATGACTCGATTCACAGGTGTGAAAGCACCCTTAAAAAAATGAAGGAAGATCTGAACGACAACATTCAGGTTTCAGATTCTTTTCAGTTTTTTTTTTGTTTTGTTTTTAAACATTTGCCAAAGTTTTACATCTGAACGAAGTTTATTTGTAAACTAAATTCGAAAGGATCTTGTGTTTATGATTGCCCACGACTGGTCCCGCATTAGCTAACTCTTGATTCACCAATCAGATGATTCCTAACTCACTATAAATAACCGGAATTTCTTATCTTAGTATCTTCATCTAGAAGAATACCCCCCCACCCCCCTTCTTTCTAGATTGGGTGACACGGCGGCCTAGTGATTAGTACTGTTGCCTCACAGAAAGAATGTCACTGGTTAAAGTCCCCACTAAACCCATTATTTAAAAGGTTCTCAATTATTCAACCATGGGACCCACATTTTAACATGGTCATCAAGCCGCAACCCAATTTTTTAGGAACTATAATACAATTTTAGGAATTATACTTAATTTGTATTTATTTGTTAACATAAACAAGTAGTGACATACATCATAAGAAATTCACCAAGACTTACAAATAAACACTTTTTTATTGCTGTCATTTAACAAAATGGATCAAATTATAAAAATATTAAAAACAACAAATACTGTTAATAATAAACTCTTAATAAAACATGTTGTCTGGTTTCTAAATGTTGTTTTAACATAGAAGGTTTCATGTTCTCTTATGAGAGCACCTCACTACATATGACACTAAGACACTTTAGGTCTTTTTTGTCATCAATATAAATATCGTGCCGAACTGAGTCTGGTTCTCTCAAGGTTTTTTTTCTTCACTCCCATCAGGTGAAGTTTTTTTTCCCTCTCCGCTGTCGCCACTGGCTCGCAAGGTTCAGGATTGGTAGAGCTACGCATCGATGAATTTGCTCTTCAGTGTTTGAACTCTCAGTAATGATTAAATCACACTGAACTGAGCTAAACTGAACTAAACTGAACTTAAACACTAAAAACTGAACTACACTGTTCCAGTTACTATGACCATTTATGTGAAGCTGCTTTGACACAATCTACATTGTAAAAGCGCTATACAAATAAAGCTGAATTGAATTGAATATATATATATATATATATATATATATATATATATATATATATATATATATATATATATATATATATATATATATATCCATACTTTACATATTCGGGGTCGTACTATTTCTTGCAACAATTAAATGAAATTTCAGATGTCAAACAGTAGGGTTGTTGCGCACGCATTTCAAAATAAAAGTCCAGTATAAGCAAAATAAGTAAAAAATTAAACTTTTGTGTTTTTTTTTTACCACACTCTCCGCGACCCACTGAAAATGTTCCCGCAACCCAATTTTGCGTCTCCACCCACCAGTTGAGAAACACTGCATTATGTGTTATGCACATTACGACATTCTCCATATGCATGGGTTTTCCCAGGGTTTCCTCCCACAGTTTAAAAAGCACGCAACCTAAGTAAATTAAACATACCAAATTGGAATCATAACCAAGCTCTTAGCAAGCCATATATCTCCCTTTAGCCATCCCTATATGTGTCATTAGTCTGAAATAATTCAGGGGAGTTCATGGAGATCTACCTGAGCTTAAATTCCCCACTCGCTCTGCTAACGGGAGGGAGCCCAGGGCTCTCTCACGGGACAGCCTGCCAAACAAGCTTATTTGTTTTTGAAATGTTTTGAAAAAAAGATTTGTATCGCTCCTTGTATTGCTAATATAATGTAAAATTGTATTCCAATTTGAAGTATCTTTTTCTATTTAAATGTGTTCAAATGAATATGAACTTCAAATATTTCCTTCATCCTAAACAATACATTTGTAGGATGAACGTTACAGAGGCACCATGAGTACACCCTCATTTTGAAAATGAATATTTTTATCATTTCTTAGTGTATGTAGGTGATATTATACGATTCATTTGAACAAAACAGATTTATTAAAAATATATGTTTATTAAAAAACTATTTCAGGCACCGAACACCTTTAGAAATAAAAAAATAATACATTTAAATTCATGAGAAATATTTGGAAAAAAAAATTACAAACTACAAATTTATAAATTTTTGGTTTCTCTTGAATTTTGCTCTTTTTTTAAAGCTTTTATTTACATTTTTTTTATTTTTCTTTAAGATTAATTTTGTTGAACAAATTTTGGAATGTTATTAAGAGTAATTTTGTTAGATTAGCTCTAGATTTGACTAATCTAACGTACATGCACAAATATATTATTATAAAGCATCCTGTGGAAAATTTTGATTTAAATGAGATTATTGTGAGGAGTGTACTCTCTTTTTTTTGTGTGTTTGTGTTTGTGTTTGTGTTGAGCAGCACCTGTGCAGAGCTGACGCTGATGGACTGTTTGCAGACGATCCAGGTGACGCTCTCCAGCAGTGGTGGTGTGGTCAGAGAGCCCAGGTATGTCCAGTAGTCCAGAGAACTGGGCAGCAACACACTTGGGTCAAAGTTTGGGAAGGGGGTTTGCTTTCCCTGAAACAAACACACACACACATATGAAGCTGATCTGATTTCAGGCTACTACAGTAAAAATGACAACATTTTCTGTAGATGTGCTGTACCTTGGACTTGATAGCATCCATAGCATCCAGAATTTTCTGGAGTTTAGGGTTGTCTGCACCAATCTGCAAAAAAAAAAAGTACAGTACAGTGAATTTGTTTGTTTTCTCATATATTTTCCTAATGATGTTTTACATGGCAATACAGTTTTCATAGTATTTCTTCTTATATTTTCTTTGTTGGGAAATGTATTATTTCTTTTCAGTTTGGCTGGAATAAAAGTTTTTTTAATTACTTTTCATATTATTTCATGTAAATCATATTAATTTTTTAATTACTTTTTAAATGTTTTTATTATTTGCCTAATTACTCTAACTTGCATAAATAACCTAGTTAATTAACATAATTAACCTTGCACTTTAAGCTACAAAATAACTAGTAAAATATTATGTACTGTCATCATGGCAAAGACAATGATATAATAATAATAATAATAATAATAATAATAATAATAATAATGATAATATATATATATATATATATATATATATATATATATATATATATATATATATATATATATATATATATATATATTAAAAGACAAGATATAATAATAATATATTATATAATAATGAATTAGTTAAAACTAATTTCAAACTAAAATTTTAAACAAACTGTTTAAAACTTTTAACTAAATTATAACTATTTACACAACAGTTCTGTCTGGTTTCTCGAATCTGGTTTCTGGCTGATAGTCGTGCAATATTCTGCAATATCAGAACTTGTATAGCCTCTTCACTCTTGTGTATAACTCTGCTCGCATAGAGTGTTAGAGTGATCGAAAAACTCTCTAGTTACACACAAATATTGCAGATGTTGCACAACATAATGTTCTTTTGAGTTTTTTTTTAGGTGAGAATGTAGTTTAGATTTCAACTATGCAGTTTATTTGTAAAGATTTGCGTTGGATTTGCATCATGAGCGGGGCTTCTGTCTGCCCAGTGTCTCTAGCTTCGTTGCTTAATGGCTAACATGGATTTTATTGAGACAATAGCTGTGTTTATGTGCTTTATGAAGGCTGAAAAACAACATCGATTCATTTGGAGCTGTGTCTGAGTCCACTGGATCCATCCAGAAGAGCACCCAGCTCTGTGTATGTTGTAGTGCTGTATTTATACCATAGTAATTGTAGTATATTGAGTGTGAGATGGGACTCATATATCAGGAATGTATGCATTTTGTGTTGGCTTTGTATAACCCTGAGTTTTGCCATCTGTTTGTTTCTAATTAGTCTCCTGTTTTCGTTACTGCAGACTAGTCCAGTAAAAAGAAAAAAGAAGAAATGCCTTCATATGTTTAGGGTTTTTACAACAATAATCTGATAGTGTTTGCGCTGCTTTGGGTTTGTTGGGGATAATTATTGTGATCTCCCAATTGCAACTGAGAAATACTTTGAAATCTGTGTAAACAGTTGGTATTTCATGCCGTTCAGCCTTGAAATCTTAAAATTGGAGCAAAATCACCTGTTTTGTCATCACTTTAGACATTACACTAGAGAATCATTCAAATACTAGCTCTAAAGTGACGTTTGTGAAGTAGCAACATTTTCTGCTAGGTCTTTTCTGATGTCAGTTGTAGAGGTGAATAAATGGTAGAAGGAAGTAGTTCCTAATACAAACGGGTTTTTGACTCTCTGTGTTTGATTTTCTTTTTTATATACACGATTATGTCATAGAAACTGTGGTATAAACGTAATATCACAAAAGTATCGTCACTGATGGGACACTAAGGGCCACCCACCAGTGCCAATATACAGCCATATTGCACTGCTACTCGTGTGATATTGCTCATATAATTTTGTCAGCCTGATCTCCTGAGGAAACGTAATTATTTTACGTTTTGTCAGTTTAGTGGCTAATTTGTACGAATTTGTACGAGTTCAGTTGTACAAAAATGTACGATTTTAAAAAGAAGATGTGGCACCCAACCCCACCCCTAACCCCAACCATCATTAAGTAATGAGCAAATCCTACTAAATTGTACAAATTAGATTGTAAAAATTCATAAAAATTAGCCACTAAATCAAAAAGTTACGAATTGCCGTGAGATTGCATTGAATTTTGTGTTCGATTTTCGAAAGAATGAGAATACGATACAATATAAAATTTTTTGTTTTAGCGTTTTTTTAATAAATGTTTTGATTTTCTTTTATTTTAGTTGTAAAAATTGTGAAAAGAATGCAACTAAGGTACAATAATAAGTTTAATTGTTTTATTTTTATTATTATTTGTTTTACTTTTTATATATAATTTAAAAATCGTTTGCCTTTTATTTTAGCATAAAAATATAAGCAAAAGTGATGCAGCAGTTATACTTCATAATTCGGCCATAAATAATGAAATAACCCTGCGCACAAACCTTCAGAAAAACCCCAACCACAGCAAGACCATCAGGCTTATCAACTGCGTCCTTAAAACTGGGATATTTAGTGTTCCAGTGGACCAGATGGAGCTAAAGTTGAAAGTAAAACAAGCATTAATATTTCATTTTCAAAAGAAACTCTCTGGCGTCTCCATTGTGTCAGTACTGGGAGCGATTCAGACCTCAGCTGGGTAACATTTGCCATTGACCGTGTGTTCGGAGCCCTTGTCGTCTGCAGATCCCCAGTGGAAGTGAAACTGTTTGAGTCTGAATGTGCCTGTGACCGGGCCTCCAGTCAGAGCTGAAACACACAATAAATCAGAACCGTCATGCTCCGCTTCATACACTTGGGCAAACCTGTTATGCTGGTTTTCTTTTTGACAAAGTTCAATGTGAATAACACTTCAGTGCAATATTTGCGTGAGATTTCCCACAATTCTGTGCCAAAACCGATGTGTCACTGTAAAGCGCAGTTGCATTGAAATTTTCACATATGCATTTGTTTTTAGGCATTACACCTGCTTAGACATGCAGCAAGAAAGACTATATACTACACTCTAAAAAATGACTTTTCCTGTTTGTTCAAATAAAAAATTAGCTGAAACAACACAATTTTTGAGTTTTATTTTAAGGCCAACTTAATTGTTTTATGCTCAATGCACTTAAATTAGTTAAAACAATTGCATTAACTTAATCAATCTGGGTTGTGATAACATGAAGAGACTGCATGGAACCCATCATTCATTCATTTTCTTGTCGGCTTAGTCCCTTTTTTAATCCGGGGTTGCCACAGCGGAATGAACCGCCAACTTATCCAGCACATTTTTACACAGTGGATGCCCTTTCATCCGCAACCCATCTCTGGGAAATTTACAGTGTATATACATTTAGAAAATTATTTTTGCTGTTTGTTCAAACTACAAATTTAAAATGAACTGAAACAATTTTTGAGATTTTTTTGGAACAACCTAAATGTTTCATGTTCAGTACACTTCAATTTGTTAAGTGAACTTAATTGATCTGGGTTGGGACAACATTATATTGTGTGAAACCCTGCATTTGTTTTAAAACTGTGTATAAATAAGTGTCAACTATAAAACTTAATGTGTGCAAACTTGCTATTTAAAGCTGCAACATTCTAGTGAAGGCGTGGATTAATGTTTAACTAGAGCAAAACACAACTTTGGAAAGGCTTTCCAGAAAAAGCACACACTGTAAAAAATGCTGGGCTCCACACAATTCCTTCATGTTGTCCCAACACCAATCTATTAAGTTAACCTAATGTTTTTTATTTATTTATTTTTACAAATTTAAGTGGATTGAACATTAAACAATTAGGTTTTCCCAAAAACCCTTAAGAATAGTGTTGTTTCAGCTCCTTTTAAAAACGTAGTTTAAACAAGCAGCAAAAATGTTTTTCTGAGTGTATATGTGCGTATAATTGATTTAAAAATATATTTAATTAGCTTGCATGTTGCTAGTTCTGTAACTTTAACACTTATTTAAATTGTTTTACATTTTATATTAAACAAAACCTAATTACAGTTGATTGAACATAAAACAATGAAGTTGTTCCCCCCCAAAAAACTCAAGAATTGTTGTTTCAACTCATTTTAGTTTCAACAAGCAGCAAAAGTAATTTCTGAGTGTATATGTGCATGTGAATGATTAAAAATATATATTAAAGTAGCTTGCATGTTGGTAGTTCTGTAACTTTAACAATAATTTAAATTGCTTTACATTTTATACTATACAAAACCTAATTACAGTCGATCGATAAATACCAAATATATACACTATAAAAGGCTGGGTTCCACACAATTCCTTCATGTTGTCCAACACAAATCGCTTAATTTAGCTTAACTGTTTTTAAAAATTTAAGCGGATTGAACATAAATCATTCAAGTAGTCCCAAAAAACCCTTAGGAATTGTGTAATTCCAACTTGTTTAGCTTGAACACGCAGCAGAAGTCTTTTTTGAGTGCATATACTGTATGACCCTGGATGACAAATTGGAAGCTAAATTGTCCGTAGTGTTCATGTGACAGTGTACGGATGTGTCCCAGTACTGGTTTGCAGCTGAAAGGGCATTCGCTGTGTAAAACATATGCCGAATAAGTTAGCGGTTCATTTCGCTGCGGCAACCCCTGATGAATAAAGGGACTAAGCCTAAGGAAAATTAATGAATATATAGTATAATATATTGTATAATATAATATTATATTAAAATGTCTGTGATTGAAGTTAAGGCAATAGACAACAAATATATATATATATATATATATATATATATAATTCCTAGTCTAATGGAGTATGCAAATGTACATTTATGTGTAAATAAATGATATAATGAATATAAGTATAGAAAGATTAGTTTAAGAAAAGAAATTTAAAAAAGAGGTAAAAGTAATAATAAAAAAAAGGAATTATGAATATAAATAGACAGAGAAAACAACAAAAGAGAAAGGAGTGTTGTTATTAATAATAATAATAAATAAATAAATAAATAAATAAATAAATAAATAAATAAATAAATAAATAAATAATAATAATAATAATAATAACTAAACAGGATAGATTTAAAACATATTTGTATTTACTTTTGAAAAGGTAGAACTAATTTATTATATTAAGTATATATTAAAATATTTATTCATTCATTTATTTTCTTGTCGGCTTGGTCCCATTATTAATCCGGGGTCGCCACAGCGGAATGAACCGCCAACTTATCTAGCACGGTTTTACGCAGCGGATGCCCTTTCAGCCGCAACCCACCTCTGGGATGAAATATTTATTATTATACATTATTACATGGGCGGCACGGTGGCTCAGTGGTTAGCACTGTCACCTCACAGCAAGAAGATTGCTGGTTCGAGTCCCAGCTGGATCAGTGGCGTTTCTGTATAGAGTTTGCTTGTTTCATCATTCCAATGACATGCGCTATAGGTGAATTAGATGAACTAAATCAGCCTTAGTGTATGTATGTGTGTGAATGTGAGGCTGTATGGGTGTTTCCCAGTACTTGGTTGCAGCTGGAAGGGCATCCGCTGTGCAAAACATATGCTGGAATAGTTGGCGGTTCATTCCACTGTGGCGACCCATGATAAATAAGGGACTTAGCTGAATGACATTATTAGGTATAAAGGTTAATAATTATTAGGTTGGAAAGTGATAGTGATAGAAAATTGATTAGAAATTGAGAGAAAAGAAATTCAAAATAGAGTAACAAAATTTAAATTGATAGAATTTTTATTAAACATAGACTAGAAAATAGAAAGTGTGTATAACAGGTTTTTTTTTTTTTAAGTAGATGTGGAAGTGATAGTGTTTGAGCTCCAGAGCAGTTTTTTGTTATATAACTCATCCGTCTACATTACTCTAGCTGAACATAAAGAACCTTCGAAAGGAAGCTCATGACTAACATTGAGGAAGTTCAGAGTGAGTGTTTTGTATAAAAAATGAAGAAGCGTCACACACTTGAGCTGTTTTGATCATCAACGAAGGACACTTGGAAAGAGTGTCCATTGTTCTGGATGTCCAGAGATGTGGACGGGTCATACTTCAGTTTCAGAGGAGTCAGCTTTTCATCATAGGTTGTTGTTGAGCTCTTAATGTCTATTGGAGACTGGCGAGAGCCGTTCGCTATCGGGTAACTCTCACCCCATTTGTCTGGGCCTGCAGAGAAATGAGAAATGAAGGTTAAACACAGCATTTACAGTGCATGATAATGTACTTATTCTTGAACCAAGTAACACATATTTGTTTTAAAAGATGTTTTGCCTATTAATAGACTTAATACCTTTTATATAATTAAAGAAATAAATAAAATGCACTCAATAATAATAATACTTATATTATTATTATTATTATTAATAATAATAATAATAATAATAATAATAATAATAATAGTGTAAATGTGAATATGATCATATTAATATAATATACATTCATTAATTTTCTTTTTAACTTAGTCCCTTATTATAATAGAAATTTAAATTTTATTGAAATAATGGTTTTAATATACATACATACATACATACATACATACATACTGTACATGCGTGTGTGTGTGTGTGTGTGTGTGTTTGTGTGTGTGTGTAAAATAATAAAGCAAGTTATCACAAAATAAATAATAATAATAACGTAAGGTTTTAATATAAATTGTTCTGGAATAGGGTATTATTGCATCTTTGTCTTTTAAGTAATTAATAAATTATGATTACAAGTCATAAAATTTAAGAAATTTAGCAAATAATTTGGTTTTATGCAAATTTTTAAATAACTGTAAAGTTTTAATAATTAAGGGGGAAAAAAGCATTTAATATTAATATGAATAAAATACATTTAACTATAATTAATAGTTTAAGTAATCAACTATGTTTAAATTACAGAATAGAATTAGCAATAATAAAACAAGTAGTCGTAAAATGCAAAAATACATTTCAATAATATAACATAATAATAATAATAATAATAATAATAATAATAATAATAATAATAATACTTTTTAATAATAATAGTTCTAAAATAGTTTTAAATTATTAATTCAAGTCATACAATACTAACATGAATAATAATTTTCCAATAGTTTGGTTTATGCAAACGTTTTAATAATTAAGAGATCAAATAAAAAGATTCAATAATATTAATATAAATAATAAACTTTTGACTATAATTAATGGTTTATGGGTAAATTATTGAATGAAAATAACAATAATAAACTCAAAGTAATAGTAAAATGCAAAAATACATTTTAATATTACAACATTCCTAATAATAATAATAATAATAATAATAATAATAATAATAATAATAATAATAATAAAGAAAAGGTTTTAATAATAATAGTTCTGGAACAGAATATTATTGAACCCTTGCCCTTAAGGAATGTTTTAATTATGATTACAAGGCATGCAATACTAAAATGAATAATAACTTTCCAATAGTTTGGTTTATGTAAACGTTTTAATAATTAATGGATTAAATTAAAACATTCAATTGAAATTGGAATATGAATAACTATATCAATTTAATAATTATCTTTAAATTATAGAATGGAATTAACAATAATAAAACAAGTAATTATAAAATACATTTCAATAATATACCATTATTAATAACAATAATAATAATAATAATAATAATCATAATAATAATAATAATATTGTTGTTGTTATTACTGTTGTTATTATTTTTGTTATATAGAACGGTTTTATTATTAATAGTTTATTACCTTTAAGGCGAATGAATGAATGAATGAATGAATGAATGAATGAATGAATGAATGAATGAATGAATGAATGAATGAATGAATGAATGAGTCACACTTTACTATAAGGTTCATTAGTTAATGCATTTACTTACATGAACTTTGTATCAACAATACTTGTGTACTTGCGTAGCATTTATTAATCATAGTTCAGCATTTACTAATGCATTATTAACATCCAAATTTATGCTTGTTTACATTAGTAAATGCACCGTGAATTACCATTAACTAACAATGAACAACTGTATTTTTAATTAACTAACATGAACAAACACTGTGTGCATTGTTCATTGTTTGTATATGTTAGTAAAATGCATTAACTAATACAATCTTATTGTAAAATGTTACCAATAAATAAATACAACTTTTAATGTGCAAATAATTTCGCAGTAAATTTCAGACAAAATATAAGAACAATGATCGGCAGCCTATAGCCAAATGTATGCATTTGAATTGCGCAGTATACTGCACTATAAACTCCGCATTTAGGGGAATAAGAGGAGAAAATACAGCTCTACTTTCAACGCATTTACGTTTTACGCATCAACATATTTAATTTCCCACACATTACATGTACATTATGTACTTGTCACACTATTGCTGACTGTGCAGAAGACAAGGTGAACATGTCTTAGTTGCTTAAAAGGACAAATGCAGTCACTGAGGAAAGCAGAGAATATGTCATTACATAAACACACCACAGAATCACCTATATGGATAATAAATAAGAAAGTCGTACCGTTATGCTTATCGTATCCCCAGTGGTCAGCCATTCCGCCAGCTGTGCTGCAGTCCTCAAGTGTCCTGAAACACTGTCAGTGTCCTCACACAGATGAGCTGTGGTTTATATAGCCGCTGTTTGCCCACATGACCGTACATTAAGTGTGATCAGCAGGAGGAGCCGCGCGTGCGATCAATAATGCGCGCTCTCTGTCCCTCACGCGCGCGCTCGATCCATCTCATGGAATGCGCGGTTCCATCATTATGAATCTGCGCGCTGCTGCTTTGATCTACAGATACGCCGACATTCGAAACACGTTCTGAACATTCTGCGATTGCGCAATCGGAGACTTGTGGCGCGCCTGGTCCTGGTGACGTCGATGACGGTGTGACATAGTAATGACAATGAGTGCGGTAATGATTCATCATCACTGTGAACGAGCCGCGCGCGGACTCAGTGGCAGTTTACGCAACACTGCGCTGCTTTGGCTAATATTTGACGATTTACAGCGAAACACGTTGTGGTTGGAGACAGGGGTAGCGTATTATTAACTTGTTCTATTGAGGCTATTTTCGTACGCGTTTAACAGAAGCACTATTAATAGCCAGCTTTGTATCTTACTATAAAAAAAAAAAAAAAAAAAAAAATATATATATATATATATATATATATATATATATATATATATATATATATATATATATATATATATATATAGTTTTGTATTTTCATTAGTGGTAAAATTGTAAGATCACTCATATTTACATAAAATAATAAGAGTAATATAGGTTAATAATCATTCACCAATGGAACTCAAACTTCTACAGATGCACTATTTGTCAGAAGCTAATTATTTGTTTAATTGATTAAAATATAGATTGTTGAAATAATCATTCAGTCATTCGCCTTAAAGGCAATGATGCAAAAATATCCTATTACAGAACTATTATTAATAAAACATCTCTTTATTATTATTATTATTATTATTATTATTATTATTATTATTATTATCATCATCATCATCATCATCATCATCATCATCCTAATAATAATATTAATAATAATAATAATTTATAATGTTATATTATTGAAATGCATTTTGATTTGATTGTTGGATTTTCCTAATACGAAAATTGTTACTTTAGTGGATATATAGGCTATTTTATGTAGTGTGTGTATGAAATTGTTTATACGCATATTACAGTTTAGTTATTAACATTACTAATATTTTTGGTCCTTACAGAGGCGTGTATGTAGTGTTATTGAATCTGATTTTAGAGTACAACGCAAAGTGAATGGCTGCCACCTGGTGGATAACAGTCGAAAGTACTCTCAACAAAAAGTCCGCATAAAGTTAGAAACTTATTTTATAATCATTTAAAATAAAAAATAAACCACTATTTGGTTATTTGAATTTTGACCAGTTGTCAAATATATATATATATATATATATATATATATATATATATATATATATATATATATATATATATATATATATATATATATAACGAATAAAACATTTTCATTTTATAACGTATTATTTTGCCTTATATGTTATATGTTTTTAGACAGGTAAATTATCTTTTGACAAGAAAATAGCTATGTTTTAACTTAAGAACTTAGAAATGTTATATTTGTAAGCCTGATTTTCACCAATTTCTTTGTCCACTTTATAAAAATTATTTTTTAAAATGACATAAAAAATATATTACAGACTTTAATAATATATTTTGCTTCCAGAAAGTATTCATAGCGCTTCACTTTTTCCACATTTGTTCATGTTACAGCCTTAATCCAAAATGGTTTAAATTCATTACTTCATGGTTGGTTAAATTCATGGTTGTTCTTCTGTAAGTTTCTTCTCTCTCCACAAAAGATGGAGCTCAGGGTTACCCTTACACAAGAGTGGGGGTATAACCCTGGTGTCCTGGCCAAATTGTCTTCATCGTCCCTCACCCATTATGGCCTCCCAAACATCCCCATCTACCGAAATGGCTTTATCACTGTCTCTCCACTCCATCTATTGGTGTGTGGTGAGTGCACTATAGTGCCGTTTCCTGTGGCTGCCGTCTCATCCTTCAAGTGGATGCTGCATACTGGTGGTGGAGTGGGGAGACCCGCCTCTCATGATTGATATGGCCATACACAATGAATGCACTATATAAATATGTACATGACTCAGAGTTATTAAACCCCCTGAATTATTAGCCCCCTGTTTATTTTTTTTCTCTCCCAGTTTATGTTTAACGGAAAGAAGATTTTTTAGACACATTTCTCAACATAATAGTTTTAATAACTAATTTCTAATAACTGATTTTATTTTATCTTTGTCATGATGACAGTAAATAATCGTTGACTAGATATTTTTCAAGAGACTTCTATACAGCTTAAAGTGACATGTAATGGCTTAACTAGGTTAATTAGGTTAACTAGGCAGATTAGGGTAATTAGGGAAGTTATTGTAAAATGATAGTTTGTTCTAGACTGTCAAAAAATATATAGCTTAAAGGGGCTAAAATATTGACCTTAAAATGTTTTTTAAAAAATTAAAAACTGCTTTTATTGTAGCCAAAATAAAACAAATAAGACTTTCTCCAGAAGAAAAAATATTATCAGACATACTGTGAAAATCTCCTTGCTCTGTTAAACATGATTTGGGAAATATTTAAAAAAGAAAAAAAATCAAAGGGGGCTAATAATTCTGACTTCAACTGTACATACTTACTAAATACCATTTTTATTAGTTAAATGGATGGAAGTGCAAGTTTTACGTTTTCCTTCAGTCATGAGCTTCTTCTTCAGGAAGAAGACTTTTCCCTTTTTGTAATTCAGAATGTTGATAAAGACTTTTCCTTTTTGTGGGAAAATGTTTTGTTTGGTTTTATTAATTGCAAAACAGAACCTTTACATAAAAGAAAATGTATTTTATTAATCGTCTTAATTTATGAACAAAACTTTATATACATAAATTAAATTTACAAACCAAAAATCTAAATAAAAAATACGCACATATTACTTACTGAAACGCAGAAGAACTCTCTTACAAAAAAAGCTTTAAAACATCTGAAACTTGTAATTGATTAAATCTTTTTCTTTAATGTAGGATGATGTAGCTCATATACCGCTTCAGTATATCTTTTTTACGGTAATTATCATTCATATTTTTCATTTTCTTCTTTATAATGTACTGCAGGGGTGTCCAAACTCTGTCCTGGTCTGGAGAGCCAGTGTCCTGGAGAGTTTATCTCTTACTCGCTTCAACACACCTGCCAGGAAGTTTATCTCTTGATCAGCTGGATCAGGTGTGTTTGATTAGGGTTGGAGCTAAACTCTCCGGGACACCGGCCCTCCAGTTTTGACACCCCTGATGTACTGTGATTGTATATTTTCGCATTATTCATAACTATTAAAACTAATAAAATTAAAAAAGCTTCATCTTCGGGTGTGGCCTTTTCTCCACATCAGATGCCAATTTAGCTTAGTAAATTCACACAGGGAGAACATAAAAACTCCACACAGAAAGGCCAACTGACCCAGCTGGGCTCGAACCAGCAACCTTTTTGCTTTAAGGTGACAGTACTAAGCAATGAGCCACCGTGTCGCCCAACTATCTCTTACTCTATTACAAAAAAAGCTTTAAAAACAACAGAAATTTTGTATAATCTTTATAATTTATTTAATGTGTGAAGATGTAATTAGCCATTCTAGGCTATATTCATTCATTTATTTTTCCTTCGGCTTAGTCTTTTTATTAATCAGGGGTCGCCACAGAGGAATGAACCGCCAACTTATCCAGCAAATGTTTTACACAGCGGATTTCCTTTCAGCTGCAACCCATCACTGGGAAACACCCATATACTCTCATTTACATACATACACCACAGACAATTTACCTACCCATTACCCAATTCACCTACAGTGCATGTCTTTGGACTGTGGGGGAAACTAGCTCTCGGAGGAAACCCACACCAACAAGGGGAGAACATGCAAACTTGATTTTATAACCATTATAAAGACGAAATGTGTTGTGATTATACATTTTAGCATTATTCATAATATTAATAATCATTAAAAAGCTTCTTCTTCAGGTGTCGTCTTTTCTCCACATCAGTAGATGGCGCTGATGAACTCGTACTGTGACGATAAAGACCAGCAGACGCAGCAGACACGTGCATGTGATGTATGTGTACAGGAGCTGTTTACAGCAAAAACTTTGTATCCCCGTAAATTTATACGCAGTTCTATCTACTAATTTGACGGTAACCTGTTTTTGTCACATTTAGCTGTCGATCTTTGGAGCTGTCATCTCACCGGGATTTAGTTCGTCCATATCACTGAGCTGTTTTCAGGATAAACATGGGCAAAAATAAACAGAAAGGCAAAAAACAGCCGAATGTGTTTCAGGTCGCGAACAAACAATCAAAACCCAAGACCAAAGCGAAGCCTGTGAAGAGCTCACTGAAACATGTAAGTTTGTTTACTGAGGTGAAGTTGGTTTTATATTCACACATTCGTTCGCTTGTGGAATGCTACCTATATTGTTTATCATGGTACTTTAAATATTCGGTCTGAAATCACATGAAAGCACGACCTGAATACAACATTAGCAGTATTTATTTGACTACGTTACTTTTTTGAAATTAAGCTATTAAGCAGAAAGTACGAATGTTTGAATATAAAACCAACTTTATAATTTTTTTGTTAAACATTTTATTTTAAACACTGTCATACAAATTGACAGGTTTAATTTTTCAGTTTAGCAAATAAATAAATGCAAAAACAAATTTACAACAATAATAATATAGACTTAAAATAACTAGATACACTTTGAAAGAAAAAATAATAATAATTCAGCAGTAACATATTAGTCTAATCTATATTAGGCATAAGCCAGTATAAGTTTTTGACGGTATGATAACCTTGAATAAAAATATCACGGTTTTACTCTATTATGGTATTGAGATTACTGCTCTAAAAATAATCTTTTTGAATGTCTGGGTAAAAAACAAAACTCTTTTCCCCTTTGTACACAATATATTTTATTTTGAAAACATTTATAATATTTTGGAGCAAACATGCTAGGCTTAATAATTCAATTGAATGATTCATTTCTGCTGCCTTAATTTGTTTGTTTTGTCAAAAAACATATTTTTTTACAATTTAAAATGGCACATTTGGAGAGCTTTTCTGCTGGATATACTGCTTTCCTAAAAAACAAACAAAAAAAATTAAATAAAAAAGCTTACTCGTACCTTAGGAACGGTATAGCGGAAAATGTTGACGGTTTTAAAACCTTAACTTTTGCAAAACGCAGTATACCTTGTACACAATTTATCGTCCCATGCCTAATCTATATACTTTCAAAGTTCATGAGTTCAACAAATTCAGGTAAAGTTGGTTTAATATTCCCACATTCAGACTTTCTCTCTATTAATAATTTAAGACATTTTTTAATAATTTTAAATACTTAAAAGTAAAATCATATTAGCAGCCAATGACAATCAAAGTACAGCATTGTTCACATTCAATTAAACAGTGTCAATGTTGTTTTGAAGTTATACTTGCATGTAATTTCTGTCCAAATATTCAAAGAACCATGGTAAACAATATGAGCTGTCACTGAACAAATGTGTGAATATAAAACCAACTTTACCTCAATGTTCAACAAAAGAGTCACAATCTAGATTTTCCAAAAAGTCATAGAATACTTTCCAAAAAGACCAAAATGAGTTTTGTTTTTAAAAAATAGGTTAAGACAAGATGTCACCCCCTTTATCCACTAATTTATCAGGACTGTCTTCTTTTTTCCAAGAACATGCAATTATATCTTTAGCTTCCAGCTAACCTAAAGTGAACAGCAGTCTTTCATTTTTTAGCTTAATGGACAGATATGCAATATAAGATGGGTTTAGGCATGGGATGACAACCGGTTTCAAGGTTTTAAAACCGCTAAAATTTTCTGTTATACCATTCCTAAGGTATATGTAAGGGTTTTCTTTGTCTTTTAAAGTTTTGTAAAGATATTTGTGTTTTTGAAACTAATGACGATAGTAGATGTAGTTTACTTATTTATTTTAATGTTATTTATTTATTTAGCCTGACATGTTAACTGTTCCAAAATATTATAATTGTTTCCCAAAATAATATATATTGTGTTCAGTGGGGGTAAAATGTTGTTGTTTTTTACCAAAATGTTTAAAAAGAACTTATTTTCGAGTAGTAATCACAATACCATGAAACTGATATTTTATGCAATCATTTGATATACGATATTCAGTATTTTAACTCAAAAACAAATTACATTGTATGTAATTTGTTTACATTAATAACACAACATTTTGCTGAAGACAGTTTAGAGGATTGTTGGATTAATGTTGATGTTTCTTCTTCAGATAAACACTGTGAGAAATGAAAAGGTGGAGAGCTTGAATCAGATGTTCACACCATTACAGCAAGATGTCAAAAGTTTGTCAAAATCCACAAAGAGTGAAATTAAAAAAGCACAGAAGGTGAGACTTTTTTTCTCTTGATGTTTTGTTTTGGTTTATTTGTGTAGATGCTGTTACTTTACATTAAGTTTTTTTTTTTTTAATTACTGAATACAGGAACAAACATAACAGTAATTAAAACATAAAATACATTGAAATACATAAAATACATTGAAAAAATATTCAGACCGAATATTCAAAGTGCCATGGTAAACAATATAGGGAGCATATCAGAAGTGACAGAACGATTGTGCAAATATAAAACCAACCTTTACAAGATTTTTGTGCATTTTTGCTAGGGATTCTCTGATCAGGATTTTTGTAGCTGATACGAGTATACCTGATTCCGTGTCATGGTGATCGGCCAGTACAGAGTGCCGATTCTGATGCTTTAAACTTTATATAACTTTGCCATTGCATTAAGCACATTTTCCCTAACACCCCCCACACATAATTGACCTCCACACATGTTGTAGCCGCTTATGTATAATATATGGGTGCACACATGCATCTTCCTCTGCTTATAAAACAAACACTTATGATTGGCTGATGAGAATGGCCAGATTAGCCATTACCGATCGAGTCATGAAATGTGATTATTGGCCGATACGATCTCTGGCAGATTAATCGAAGCGTCCCTAATTTTTACAGCAAAACGCTAGAATTGACGCAAATAATGTTATACGTTTTGAGAAAAAAATGTCATAAAATTGTCATTTTAGGGCGTAGATATTTAATAGAAATTCCCTGTAAAATCCTGAAGAGACTGCTTAATGTATCAAACTGATTGTCACTAATAAAAAGGTCAAATATGAGGCCTAATTTAATTAATTTAATGATTTGCAATTATGAAAAAAAGTCCAAATTTGGAAGAAAAACTTTTCCATCATTCACTGTAACATATTGATGTAAAACTGCATGTATATAAAAGAACAAGTGATCATAGAAGATTGTATTATTTTTGAATGATTAAAAATGTCTTTTTGACCAAAGGCTAAATCTTAGCAGTTTGATGAATAGAATAAACATATAAAAATGTAATATGATCTTTAAGGTAAAGTCTTTTAATAAGTCACCTAATGATTCTTACTCTAAATGAACCTGAACCTATTTTGATATGTAAACTATTAGGGTTGGGCGATGTCCACCAATTTGGCATCGTACAGTGTCTAATTTGAAACGTCGCGATAGGGATGTCCCGATTCAACATTTTAACTTCCGATACGGTACCGATATTGCAGTCATCAGTCCGATACGATACCGATATAAATCCGATATCAGAACAAATTATGAATACTTTATTTTTACCTATTTTGTTGAGTCGAATGTATGAAAGGCTAGATCAAACTGAGAACAAGTCAGCAACACTAAGTATGAAAAAAACAACCAGTTTATTAACTTCTGGTTGCATAAATGTGAACTTTTACATAAGAATATATAAAATGAATTAAAGAATAAATATTAAGACCCTGAAAAATATCTTAATTGAATAAACAAAAATACATTTTTAAAGTGCAAAATGCTAATTAAAGGTCACTTCAGTTATTTATTTTTACCATCAGCAAAGAGTAGAAACAGCTGAGAGCAGGAACATAAGAAAAAAAAAATGTTTATTGAACAACATGCTAAAGGTTCAGTGTCCAAAATTTAAATTTCACACACAGCTTTTTGATAAATTTTTGATCCAGCTGAGCTGAAATATCGCTTTCACACTGGGCAGCAGAAATAATTTATTGTTAAGTTAATAAAAATGTGCAGTATGGTTAGTACAAACATTTACATGATCAGAGCTATTTCATCTGTGTTTGTATCATAAGAAGATTAAGGCTGTTTAAATGTTCCCAAACATTATTAATTTTATAACATATATTGCCCATATTATATTTAACATAAAAATACTTGCAGAGGCTAGATTGAAACACACCTTTACCCCACAGCACTAGAAATAATGTGACTTTTAAGAATAATTTTGTTTATCAAAATTCATTATATTCCATCAGATTCCACCCTACTGCCCACATGGGAAAATTAGACAATGTAAATAACAGCAAACTGATGTGCAAAGCTGACACTGTTTATCAGAGCACTTTATCTTTCTGGGCTTTTTAAAGAAGAGTTAAACATGAGAATGTCTCTAATAAAATTTTCCTTCTGCCCCAAAAGTAATACCATTCTTTCTTTTACACTGTAATGGCTATCAGCAGCAGAATGATTTCTTATTCTTATTTAACAGACAATGAAAACAACAAAAATGTTTAGCATTTTACATGACACTGTTCCTTTCAGAGTGTTCAGGTAAAAAATGAAATAAAGAATAATAAATCCACTATTTCACTCCTATTATCCATGTGCACCACTGACAGGTCAAATCTGTTCCCTCTCTTGGTGCTGCTGAGAGATTGAGATTGAAAGTTTGCGTATAAAATAATGTAGAAACGCAGCTAAAGAAAGCAGAATCCGGGACATGTTCGGCGATTTAAATCTTGGCTGAATGCAATTTTTAAGTCCCAAATAGAGGACATGTCCGGGAAAAAGGTATTGTAGGCTTTTTTCACGCGTGTCCTCGCGCTCTTCTCAAAGGTAAAGTCAGAGCAGGTGTCCAGCGCGTCTCTGTGGGTCTGCTGCAGCGGAGACTTTTCTCATGCACACAGAACCGGACCGCTGAGGTAAAGTTTTATGTGTGGGAAGCGCTGGTGATGAATTAGGTATCACACTGGATGAACCACGATATGCCATGACCGAATTGAGGCTCGCACGATGTGTGCTACGTAGCCATTCGGTGCCTTATGTTGCTTAGCAGCCTTATGCAAAACAATGTAAAGATCGCTTGACGTGAAGTAAATAAACTAGTAACGTTAGAGATGTGCCGTTGTTGCTAGCGTCAGCGTGTGCTACCGTCACAATAGATTTCTATCGTAATACACCATACCTTAGTTTGAGGAGCATGTTAAATCTTAGAGACTTTCCTAGCAAGCAGTGTTGTGATCACATGGGCTTTGCACGCTGGCTCTAGACGCTGCTGGATAGAATAGCTGTAACGGAGAATAGAGAGTATCGGACTGCTTGTATCGGAGATTTTTAAAGCAGTCTGATATAGTTTTTTGGACTGATATCGGACAAATTTCCGATATCAATATCGGATCGGGACATCCCTACATCACGATGTACGATGGCATCGTCATTGTAGGCGGCAGTAAATTAATTATTTATGAATAATTTATTAATTCATAATTATTTGTAGCCTACCGTTTCAACTACCTGACCCGCATGGTCTTTGTTTTACCCATAACCAAATTATAAATAAATTTAGTCCTAAAAGTTTGAAAACCCCTGCTATATACTGTCATTACACCGAATAACATTTTAGTGGCTGCCTTCAGCCTTCAAAAAATCAATTATATAAGGGTCCATTGTAATATATGAATAAAATTTAAAGCTGTATCACAAATTAATTATTTCAGCCATTCAATGCTTAACATTAATAGTTTGATGCTTTCTCCTCTTCACCAGTGCATTGTCAGATCTCATGTAAACTGTATATTTTAGGTGGTGAGAGACGCTCCGAAGGAACCGGTGAATGTGTACAGTGCTGCACAGCTTTTCTCTCAACTATAGAAAACAGAAAATGATGAACTCTGAAACTTCATACCCACACCCTCTTACAAAAAAACACACACATCATATCTATTCATATTCATCAGTATAATTTATAATAACATCCTACAATGCTTTTCCTAGAACAGGCATCTTTTCTTTTGCCCTTGAAGGACTGGTTTTGTAAATGTACTCTACAATAGTGTATGCTAATCGCACAGCCAAGCTTAATGTCCAAAAAGACATTAGCCAGTTTTCCCAGAGCACTAGGATTCTGCATTTGAATGTTGTGTTTGCTGAGGCATGCAGAAGAGAGTCATTAAAGGCTGATTTTTTTTTTTAAATGAGTGTTTCTTGTGTTGTCTTGAGTCAGCTGGAGCTGCTTTTCTGTTTCTCTTCAGATCAATGCTTGAACTTGTGACCCATTAAAGAGTGATGACCCACTCTATTTATTTGTTTATTTATTAGGGACCGAGCACCGAAACGGTGCGTAGGCCCTATTGGAATTGCTCTGTTTATTATTATTCTTCTTCTTCTTCTTCCGCGGAATGAATCGCGGTTTTGAGGGGCTAAACATGCCCGAAAACTCACGAAACTTTGCACACGCCTCAGAAGTGGCGAAAATTTACATTTGTTAAGGGCTTCGGAAGTGGGCGTGGCAAAATGACTCGACAGCGCCACCTAGAAAAATTAATCGGACGAGCCCCCGATATACGAATCACGCACATGCACGAAAATTGGCACACACCTCAAACACACCAAAACATACGAAAAAGTCTCTTGGAGCCATATCTCAAACCCAACAGGAAGTCGGATATTTTTAACTTCCTGCGGCGAAAAAGTGGCGTTTTTGCCATTTCCAGGCGTTGTATTTTAACAAACTCCTCCTAGGGATTTTATCCGATCGACACCAAAATTGGGTTTTGTCATCTAAAGGCCTTGGCGATGTTAAATTGTGAAGCTTTAGAGTTTTCATCGATGGGCGTGTCCGTGGCGGCCTCGCAAACTTTGCAATTCGCCACAAAACAGGAAGTCGTTATAACTCAGGCATGCATTATCAGATCTGCCTCAAAATTTACACGCTCGATAAGCATCCTGACCTGAACACGTTTACATGCCAATATCCAGATACAGTTACAGCGTCACCTGCTGGCCACAGGAAATGACATAATTTACGGAGTAATAAACTCCTCCCACAAATTTTATCGTATCAGCACCAAAATTGGGCGGTGTTATCTGAAAGCTCTAGCGATGATATATTGTGAAGATCTAGAGTTTTCGCAGAGGGGCGTGTCCGTGGCGGTATGACAAACCTCAACGCTTCGCCATGGAACAGGAAGTCCTGATAACTCAACCACACAATGTCCGATCTGCCTGAAACTTCACATGGTTGATAAACGTCATCTCTTGAACACATCCACATAACAATATTAAAGTGGGCGTGGCAAAATGACTCGACAGCGCCACCTAGAAAAATTAAACGGACGAGCCCCCGATCCACGAATCATGCACATGCACGAAAATTGGCACACACCTCAAACATGCCAAAACATACGAAAAAGTCTCTTGGAGCCATATCTCAAACCCAACAGGAAGTCAAATATTTTGTACTTCCTGCGGCGAAAATGTGGCGATTTTGCCATTTCCAGGCGTTGTAATTTAACGAACTCCTCCTAGGGATTTTATCCGATCGACACCAAAATTGGGTTTTGTCATCTAAAGGCCTTGGCGATGTTAACTTGCGAAGCTTTAGAGTTTTCATCGATGGGCGTGTCCGTGGCGGCCTCGCAAACTTTGACGATTCGCCAGAAAACAGGAAGTCATCATAACTCAGCCATGCATTATCCGATCTGCTTCAAATTTCACACGTTTAATAAGTGTCCTGACCTGAACACGTTTACATGCCGATATCCAGATATAGTTATAGCGCCACCTACTGGCCACAGGAAATGACATGTTTTACAGTGTAACAAACTCCTCCCACAAATTTTATGGTCTCAGCACCAAATTTGAGTGGTGTTATCTAAAAGCTCTAGCGATGATATATTGTGAAGATCTAGAGTTTTCGGAGAGGGGCGTGTCCGTGGCGGCATGACAAACCTCAACGCTTCGCCATTGACCAGGAAGGCTTTATAACTCAACCACACAATGTCTGATCTGCCTGAAACTTCACATGGTTGATAAAAGTCCTCTCCTGAACACATCCACATAACAATATTGAAGTGGGCGTGGCTAATAGACTCGACAGCGCTACCTACCAAAATTAATCGGACGAGCCCCTGATATATGAATCACACACACGCACGAAAATTGGCACACACCTCAAACACGCCAAAACATACGAAAAAGTCTCTTGGAGCCATATCTCAAACCCAACAGGAAGTCAGATATTTTTAACTTCCTGCTGTAAAAAAGTGGTGTTTTTGCCATTTCCAGGCGTTGTATTTTAACGAACTCCTCCTAGGTATTTTATCCGATCAACACCAAAATTTGGTTTTGTCATCTAAAGGCCTTGGCGATGTTAAATTGCGAAGCTTTTGAGTTTTTATAGATGGGCGTGTCCGTGGCGGCCTCGCAAACTTTGACTATTCGCCACAAAACAGGCAGTCGTTATAACTCAAGCATGCATTATGCGATCTGTCTCAAAATTCACAGGTTTGATAAAAGTCCTGACCTGAACAAGTTTACATGCCGATATCCAGATACAGTTACAGCGCCACCTGCTGGCCACAGGAAATGACATGTTTTACACTGTAACAAATTCTTCCCACAAATTTTATCGTATCAGCACTAAAATTGGGTGGTGTTATCTGAAAGCTCTAGTGGTGATATTTTGTAAAGATCTAGAGTTTTCGCGGAGGGGCGTATCCGTGGCGGCATGACAAACCTCAACGCTTCGCCATGGAACAGGAAGTCCTTATAACTCAACCATACAATGTCCGATCTGCCTAAAACTTCACATGGTTGATAAAAGTCCTCTCCTGAACACATCCACATAACAATTTTGAATCTGTCATTACGCCACCTGCTGGCAGAAGGTAGTTTGGCTTATAACACAGCCACACAATGTCTAATCTGCCTGAAACTTCACATGGTTGATTAAATTCCTCTCCTGAAGACATCTACATGCCAATCTTGAGTCACAGTTATAGCGCCACCTGCTGACAGGAGGAAGTTTGCCATAAATCTGTGATTTCCTTAGATTTTTTTTTATATATCGGCTTAAATTATTATTGTTCGCTGTTCTCTGTCATCGTAAGGTCACCGGGCGGCGGTGAGCCCGGGTGCGAGGTCCCTATCATCGCTGCTTGTTAGGGACCGAGCACCGAACGGTGCAAGGCCCTATTGGAATTGCTCCGTTTATTATTAGGGACCGAGCACCGAAACGGTGCGTAGGCCCTATTGGAATTGCTCCGTTTATTATTAGGGACCGAGCACCGAAACGGTGCGTAGGCCCTATTGGAATTGCTCCGTTTCTTATTATTCTTCTTCTTCTTCTTCCGCGGAATGAATCGCGGTTTTGAGGGGCTAAACATGCCCGAAAACTCACGATACTTTGCACACGCCTCAGAAGTGGCGAAAATTTACGTTTATTATGGGTCTCGGAAAGGGGTGTGGCAAAATGACTCGACAGCGCCACCTAGAAAATTTAAACTGATAAGCCCCCGATCCACAAATCACGCACATGCACGAAAATTGGCACACACCTCAAACATGCCAAAACATACGAAAAAGTCTCTTGGAGCCATATCTCAAACTTAACAGGAAGTTGGATATTTTTGACTTCCTGCGGCGAAAAAGTGGCGTTTTTGCCATTTCCAGGCGTTGTATTTTAACGAACTCCTCCTAGGGATTTTATCCGATCGACACCAAAATTGGGTTTTGTCATCTAAAGGCCTTGGCGATGTTAAATTGCGAAGCTTTAGAGTTTTCGTCGATGGGCGTGTCCGTGGCGGCCTCGCAAACTTTGACAATTCGCCACAAAACAGGAAGTCGTTATAACTCAGGCATGCATTATCCGATCTGCCTCAAAATTCACACGCTTGAAAAGAGTCCTGACCTGAACACGTTTACATGCCGATATCCAGATACAGTTACGGTGCCACCTGCTGGCCACAGGAAATTACATGTTTTACAGTGTGACAAACTCCTCCCACAAATTTTTTCGTATCAGCACCAAATTTAAGTGGTGTCATCTAAAAGCTCTAGCGATGATATATTGTGAAGATCTAGAGTTTTCGCAGAGGGGCGTGTCCATGGCGGCACGACAAACCTCAACGCTTCGCCATGGAATAGAAAGTCCTTATAACTTAACCACACAATGTCTGATCTGCCTGAAACTTCACATAGTTGATAAAAGTCCTCTCCTGAACACATCCACATAACAATATTGAAGTGGGCGTGGCAAAATGACTCGACAGCGCCACCTAGAAAAATTAAACGGACGAGCCCCCGATATACGAATCACGCACATGCACGAAAATTGGCACACACCTCAAACACGCCAAAACATACAAAAAAGTCTCTTGGAGCCATATCTCAAACCCAACAGGAAGTCGGTTATTTTTAACTTCCTGCAGCGAAAAAGTGGCATTTTTGCCGTTTCCAGGCGTTGTATTTTAACGAACTCCTCCTAGGGATTTTATCTGATCAACACCAAAATTGGGTTTTGTCATCTAAAGGCCTTGGCGATGTTAAATTGCGAAGCTTTAGAGTTTTCATTGATGGGCGTGTCCGTGGCGGCCTCGCAAACTTTGACGATTCGCCACAAAACAGGAAGTCGTTATAACTCAGGCATGCATTATCCGATCTGCCTCAAAATTCACACATTTGATAACAGTCCTGACCTGAATACGTTTATATGCTGATATCCAGATAGAGTTATAGCGCCACCTGCTGGCCACAGGAAACGACATGTTTTACATTGTAAAATACTCCTTCCGCAAACTTTAATATATCAGCACCAAATTTGAGTGATGTTATTTGAAAGCTCTCGCGATGATATGTTGTAAAGATCTAGAGATTTTGCAGAAGGGCGTGTTCGTGGTGGCATGAAAAACCTCAACGCTTCGCCATGGAACAGGAAATGCTTATAGTTCAACCACACAATGTCCGATCTGCCTGAAACTTCACAAGGTTGATCATATTCCTCTCCTGAACACATCCACATAACAATATTGAGTCTGTCATAGCGCCACCTGCTGGCAGAAGGTAGTTTGGCTTGTAACTCGGCCACACAATGTCCGATCTGCCTGAAACTTCACATGGTTGATGAAAGTCCTCTGCTAAGCACATCTACATTGCAATATTGAGTCAAAGTCATAGCGCCACCTGCTGGCAGAAGATAGTTTGGCTTATAACTCAGCCACACAAAGTCTGACCAGCCTGAAAATTTACATGGTTGATTAAATTCCTCTCCTAATGACATCTACATGCCAATTTAGAGTC